TTGCCAGCCAGGGGCAACCAGAAAGGGGTCAACCTTGGTTCGGTACTCGCTTACTTACAAGGCACTGTGGCTTGTAATTTCTGTCATCTTCTTTGGTTCTCACCACACTTTAATGGGGGGTAAATTTATAATCCTTATTTGAGTGACCAGGACGCTGAAGTTCAGAGAGGTTAAGTGTTTTATTCAAGATCACAGAGTGATGCCAAAATATGAACCCAGAAATGCCTGACTCCCGAATGTATGCTGATTTCAACAAACCAAGTGGGTTCCCTCAAGGAGTCTCAAATTAGTTTGATAATTTTTCATTCAAACATCTGTTTTCATTCAAACATCTATGTTTTAAAAAAAACAACCTGGGAAATATCCAGATGTTTGAAAATTAAGCAACACATTTCTAAATAACAATCAAATTAAGAAATATATTTTAAGTAAATGATAATGAAAGGAGAGATAGCAAAACTTAAAAGCTGCAGCTAAAGCCCTACTCACAGGAGAAATTATAGTACCAAATATATATATAAAAAAATGAGCTTAAAAAAATCAGTGATCTAAACTTCCATTGCAGAAAGCTGATTTTATAAATCCAAAGAAATTATAAGGAATTTCTATATATCTAATAATAAAGATAAGAACAAAAAACACATAGACTTAAAAAGAAAGAGAAAATAAAAAAGATAAAGGTTGGTTCTTTGAGAGAGTAATAAAAGTGATAATTCTGACCAAGACAAAGAAAGAGAAATGAACAAAGTGAACTGCCAGTACCAGGAAAAATACGTATTTTGACTGCCTCCTACAGATGTGAGACAATGAGCATGAACAGCAGGAGGGGGAGGAAGAAGATGAAAAAAAAAAAAAAAGTATCTATTTTGAGCCCAGCCGGGTGTGGCTCAGCAGCTGAGCATCAACCTAGGATCCAGGAGATCGGGGTTCGATTCCCGGTCAGGGCACATGCCCGGGTTGCAGGCTCGGTCCCCAGTCGGGGGCATGCAGGAGGCAGCCAGCCAATGACTCTCCCATCATTGACATTTCTATCTCTCTCTCCCTCTCCTTTCCTCTCTCTGAAATCAATAAAGACATTAAAAAAAAATTTTTTTAAAAGAACATTGTTAAAAGTATCTATTTTGAAACTATCCAGAAAAATCACATTCTCGATTCTATTGTATTCAAGGTAATCCAACATGCATTTGTTTGAAGAGAGCACAAGGCACTATCAGTTTGGGATTATAGGTCTAGAAAGATAAAGTGCATGTACTTTGGAGTCAGACAGAGCTCAGTTCAAATTCAGCCTCTACCTCGAACTCAATGAATGACTTTGGGTGAATTATATTAACCTCTCTTCCATTTTCTTCTCTAACAAATACCAGCCTCATAGAGCTGTTAGAAGGGTTAGAGGTAAAGAACCAAGCACATGGGTAGCTTACATCCTGCAGAATATTTTCGCCAACATGACCCATAACTATGACCCAAACCCATGATAGTTTATCAGTAAAAAGGGTACAATAATATATCCTGAGACAAGGCGATTCATTTGGAAATGTAAAGTGCNGCCCAAACCCATGATAGTTTATTAGTAAAAAGGGTACAATAATATATCCTGAGACAAGGCCACTCATTTGGAAATGTAAAGTGCTCTGAAAAGCTTGGGTATCTAACTTTCCTTACTTGCCTGTTTCAGTTAGAGAGGTTTGGTGTAGTCATTCTTCAATAGAAAGGATGTTGCCAACATATGAACATCATATGAAAATTAAAATAACAATGTAAATTTTTCATTTTAATTTTATATAATAATTCATCTTTTCTTGAATATTAATATATCAACATAAAAATAAAAACTATGCCTATAGCACAAGTTATTTTAAGACTTTGGGGGGAAAGGCTTCATCTCTGGTGTTGACATGATGACAGAAGATCCCCCAAATCTTCAGCTTTCCACCACGGTGTTTCCTGAGTCATGCACAGTCACATACGAAGATCTCAAAGACCTGAAACCACCATGCCTACGGCTCATATTACAGAGCTGCAAGACGGATGCTCAGGAGTTTTTGCACACTGAAGAAGATGGAGAGGCCTATGACAAGAAAGCAAAAAAGGAAATCTTGAGGCAGTTCAATACATCTATCGTTCAATTCATCAAGGGAAGAAGATCCTTCATTAGCAACCAAAGTATGGGTTGAGCACTTAGCATCCAGACAAGCTCCTCTCCTGCAGTGACAACATGGAGAAAGGTCAAGTCCAGGAGTGAATGACTTAAAGTGGGGCCCAGCTGAGTTTCATTTCACTTGTAAAGTCATAAAAATAAATACTGAGAAGGGATGTTTGATGCTGAAAACAAATGTCTGGCTCCAACATGGCACAGATGTGGGCCATGAGTGTCAGCTGATGATCCAGAAACAGCAGAAGCAGCAGCCTGTTTTCTTCAGAAGGTCCCTGGCTGTGAACACTTCTGGGGGAGGCTGGGGGGTGGAGGCGGAGGAAGAGAGGTCACCATAGGTCACCATCCCAGATCTCCATCCAGGCCCCAGGGAAAATGCCCACAGATGGCAAGATGGCTATTTCTTCTTCAAGAACAAATCAATTACCTGTAGTCATCCAGGCAGGAAAATGGAATACTCTTGTTGTTTAAAATCCATTTCAGATCATCAATGCTGTGTCCCAAGCACTTGTGACTAGGAAAGAACAAAGAAAGTGTTAAAATAACAAGATCTTGCAAACATTCCCTGAGTCAGTTTCTTCTAGGTAGCAGGCCTTGCACAAAGCCCTGGCATATGGAGGTGAAGCTGAGGCTGCCTCTAACTGTTCACAGGTCAGCAGGGGAGCTGAAGGTGAGAACTAGGTAGATACCCAACATGGAGATAAAATTGAGAGGTTGTGGGGATGGGCTGAATGTACAGAAAGTCCTCATTCATTTCCTGAGCCAGTCTTTCCTCAAAGCATTCTCAACACTGTGGATTCTTTTGCACAGTGATTCCTAAAGTAACCCTGAGAATATATGGGTACAAAGTAGTAACATATACCTGACATTTCCTCCAATGTCATCCATGACCAAGGCTTGTAGTGTAGAAACATTCTTTGGATTCAAATTAGGGACTTCCACACTTAGAAAAATGCTAAGATATAAGAGAAAAGGAACATTGTTAACCCCAAACGAAATGGTTCAGGTACCCATAGCCCCTGGGAAAGCCAGCAGGTGGGTCGCCATTGGTTAGAACCCACCCTCTGGAACTGAAGCCACCTTTACCCTTTCAATGTGACCCTCAATGAGTAAGGCCCTCTCGATAAGATTCCTTATCTGGACCATGATGTTGATTCTTTAAGAACTTGGTTTTCCAAGAGTGGGCCTTAAACCAACAGAATGGCATCGCCTGGGAGCTAGTTGGAAGGACAGAACCTCAGTCCACCACCCCTGCTGAACCAGGCTCTGCAGCCATGCAATCCGCAGGCGGTCCACCCGCTCAGGCACGTTGCAGCCCGGCCTTGAAAGACTGACGTCCTGCTCTAGCCCCACTCTCAACTCTTCCCCATGTCGCTGACGCCTGCCACTCCCATGGCAAGTACGCAGGACCCTCCTACCAGATTATAAAATTCTGAGACGTCAGCACTTTCATCCAAAGGCCCACAAGGTTGAGGTCAAAAGAAGAAGACAAAAGGACAAATGATTCTTCGTAGAATTAAATATGAAAACAGGAGAGAGGGGAACTAATTGGGGGCACCTAGACTGCTCCCCACTCTCTATCCAGCCTTACCCAGGGAAAGACTGGA